GTGGTAAACTGGGTTCCTTCTAAAATAGAATTTCTTCTACAAAAACAGTTGGGTTATTATAGCTAAATTAAAAAATGAAGTAAATCAACAAGAAATTTGAGACCAACAGGCAAAATGTTTTGCATTTTTCTTGCCAAATTAAAGCATGTTTAGATATTGGCTAAAAAGTTCTTGTTAAACTGAGGCCAGGTATATGGTCCAGTCACTGCCAATGATATCTGCACAGGCCAGCCATATTGTTCATTAGGATATCCTGAACCTGCACAGAGCCTGCAGCTTGTCTGCAGGAAGCTGATCTAATTACTGCACAATACAGGTGCCAAGAGAAATCCTCTGGCTCTTTCATCATGATCATCTTCAAAGTTGCTTATTATCTGATCAATGGTAGTTCTCTGGGTTGTGATTTAATGATCAAGATCTATTTTTATTTAATTATTGATTTCAATGAAATTAAATCATATTTTTTTCATTATTTTCTTCTGCAAAAAAATAGTATTTATCTTGGTCCAAAAAGCATGTTGTCTATGAGCCTCAGCCCTGGGACAATTGTGATCAAAACAAACTGGATGTTTTGTTATTTGCTTTAGGGTGAAGGCTATGGGCAATGTCTTACCTTCCTTTAGCATGCCCATCAGCAGGCATTTCTTGAAACGACACGCCTGGCACGCTTTCCTCCTGCGTTTGTTGATTTCACAGTTGGCATTGGCTGGGCAGGTGTACTCAATGTTACCTGGAAAATAATAACAAGACCTTGCAATCAATCTTGGAACTACTGCAAAGATCTTAACTGTCCCTTCCCCATGTTTAGATATCAAGTGCTATGTAAAGCACCTTTTTTATAAGCAAAGATATGCAAACAGGTCAATTCAGGGATGAAGAACACTGTTGTACTTAACAGTGCACATTTCTACATCAAACTACTTCACCTTCTTGCCACATTTGAAATATGAATCAAATTTTATAATACAATTTTTCTCACAGCTGGTTAGGTCAGGCCACAAACATAAATATAATTCCAATTCATACAAATACAATGCAGCAAAACTAATGCAACAAACACAAAACAGGTTCTTTTAAATGACCTCTTTCTTATTCAGGATATTTACCACTTAATTTAACTTTCATAACATGACATAACAATTTTTTCTGCTTGATTATCTTTAGCATGAAGTGTAAGAACAGGTGTGTTTTCTTGCACCAGGATTTTTTTATTCTTTTAATGGCCAGGTTTAATAATACCAGCACATACCTTGAGCAATGACATGGAATTAACTCACATCAAACCACTCAAGTATTCAGTGCTATATATACTCATTCTACAAGACATTTCACAGGCAAGATTACATGATAAATTCCTCATACTTCCTTGTAAAAAATTTATGCACAACAGTTAGAGAAGTAATTCTATTTAGTCCAAGTAATGATTTACAAAAATATTCCCAGTGCAGAAATGGCCTTGATTACATAATATCAGCCAGTGGTCAAGTGTGATATCAGTGGCAAGAAATTAAATAGCACCATCTCTTCACCATAAATGCATATTTATGTCTTATAGTGTTTTAGTGATAATCAGTTGCTAGGTATCCGGCCTTCAATGTTTACATAAAACAAACAGGCTACTAAAATCTATCCTCAAATGTTGGTCTTACCACTGGGGCTGAGCTTATGCAATACCTGGGAAATACTACCTGCAGTCCCAAAGGGCACTGAAAGTCAATACACCAGGCCATTTTTTGTGTGTAAATTGTTGGAAATTAGGAGGTTTATACCATGTTTTGCATTATTTACTAAGTATTGCAAAGCAATATTTGCAATTACTATGTTATTGATTCTAGCTGCACTATCATTATTTGCTTCTTTACTTTCATTAAATGATGGATCAATTTTTTTGCCTACTCCTTCTAAACATTCAGTGTTGCATAACATATATTTTTAACTTGCATTTTGCCTTTTCTTTTTTTTTTCTCTCTCGTTCAGATTTGTTCTGGTGTTGATAAGCTATGTAAATGGTGCCAGAGTACTGGCATTCACCTGATATGCCCCTCACATCCAGGCACCTTATGCAACATCCCTGTTCATATAGACAGTCATAGGTCAGCTTGGGTCAACAGGTCTCAGTCAGTTAATTGTCTCACACAGCCAGGACAGACTTAATTCAGTCCCTTATAACACCCTCAATCTAACTTGTTAAAAGCAGTCTTCTGTGTCTGTATAAATAACCAACCAGGGAACTATAAGGATTCGTAAATTGAACAGTTACTGTCTATGGCTGCAGTTAATTTGGAGCAGGAAATTAATGGCAAGTGCAAGGAACTTTAAATAATTGACAAATGTGAACAAAGTATATTTATGATTTAACCAAAAGCATGTTTATCATGGAGCAAAATTTATATATTTATCTGCCTGTCTGTCTGTCTGTCCACCCTTCTTTTCATCTGATCCACAGATAAAATATTGTGGACCCTACATGAAAGAAGGCCCGACTAATCTGTTGATGGTCTCCCCACCTCCACAGTGCTGTCCTTGCAGGGGTCTAGCAATTAAACCTTGGAGCCTTGATTTGATCTGTTTAATGGCGTGTGTGGAGGTGTGGAAACCATCAGTGGATTAGTAGGCTCTTCTTAACTTTCATGTAGGGTCCGCCATATTTGATCTGTGGATCAGTTGATCCTTGGATCTTCTGTTCTGAATGAGCCCAAATAGGAACCAAATATGCGATTTTTTTTTTTTTTTTGAAAATGCCAAAGTGAATGTCAACATAAAAATCCCAGAAGATGATACCACAGTCTGCTTGACTGGGTGGCATTTCATGCTGCTGCTGCCCAGCGTGATATCATTTTAACAACTACTTGATCACAAACAAACCTGGGTAATGATCCGTAGAGGATGGGATTTCCAGCATAGATCACATTTCTCATGAACATTCAGGTGGCAGTTAACGTAAAAAATATTTTTTTGGTAACAGTAAATGCTGATATCAGTTCAAAACAGATTTTTAGGAAGAATATGCTCCTCTGCTAATTAACTGACAGATAACCTTCAGTCAATAATTGACTATTGAGTTTTGCCAAATAAATGTATAGGTAGTAATAGACTCAAGGGTGTTTTTTTAATTGATGATGAATTAGAATAGACCACAGATCCAAACACTTGGTGAATTATTTAAAACGTGCCCAATTTTCTTTTTGTCTAGGCCTGAGTAAATGGTTAAATACCATCAATATAGCCTCACATACAAGCTCTCTCATTTTATTGAATTCATACATAAAATAAGTATGAAAGCCATCTAAGCAATTTTCATCAAAATATACTGTGAGTAAGGCCATGTAAACAAGAAATTTGCAAATAAATGAGTGGTGAAATCAAAATCTGTCCCGTGATACTCCGGTTGCAGGGTTCTTGCATTCNGTTAAATACCATCAATATAGCCTCACATACAAGCTCTCTCATTTTATTGAATTCATACATAAAATAAGTATGAAAGCCATCTAAGCAATTTTCATCAAAATATACTGTGAGTAAGGCCATGTAAACAAGAAATTTGCAAATAAATGAGTGGTGAAATCAAAATCTGTCCCGTGATACTCCGGTTGCAGGGTTCTTGCATTCAAAAGCAATAAAAAGGGAGTATGCAAATCAATGAGGTCACTGGGGCCAATATAGCCAGTAATGTTTGTCTATTATAAGAGCTGTCGAGAGGCGTGACTTAACAATACGAAATTTCCCTACCACAAGAGTTAACTTGGGGGCACGGCAAATAATTATTGTGGCATATATACAGATATTTAATTGTATCTCAAATGTTTTTCTCCTGACTTTTGTAACTGTGAGTTTCTTTGCCACAAAGAGGTCAGGAACTGCATATTCAAAGACAACCTCAACCATCGTCTGGCGTCACTGACTTTGTTACTGTCAAGTCTGTTTACGACAGAAGATCAATCCCTTGCCGTTATTTTTGCCACCTACTGCCCTCCATGTGCACAATCAGTATGTAATATGATGCTGCATTATTGTCATAACCAATTTCACAACAGACGCAAAATTACATTTGTATATAATTTGACGTCAAATGTGCAATATATTGACCAGGACAGATTTTCTCACGTTTCCCAAAAACAAGAAAAAAAGAAAAATATAACCCATTAGGTGTTGGACAAAATTGTCCTCTCTAAAAAACAGTATGAAGCAAGTTCTAACTAAACCAACCCCCCCCCCCCCAAAAAAAAAAAAATTCTAAACATTCTCAATATTTTTTCCAAAGTGCCATGTTAATTTCAACAGAAGTAGCTCTTGGTCTATTCTGGAACTATTTTACATTTGATCTGGTAATTAGAAAATACTGTGAGCCCCAGAAGAAAACTACTTAGATAATTTACTTGCTTACCAGCAGGTGTGTACCAGAATTTTGAACCATATGGCTAGCTATCTGATGTATATTTATATGCATTATATTTTACAAAGGAATGGTGAAAAATAATCTAAATAATATTGCCTAGATTGTCACAGATATAATTTTAATAAAAAAATAATTAAAACAATTTATAATGTGGATATAATTATATAAAAAATTATACAAAAGTTTAAATTCAGACTTTCACATGTAAAATCACAACTACAGTACATATCACAGGTAAATCTGTTTTACGTTTTTAGGAAGTATACTGTCACATACATGATTGATCCAATATATTATCTACAAAGCCAATCTAATATAAAGAACAACGCCATAAATCATCCTTCTTTTCAATAATTGGAAGCAGAGAAGATGGTTGATCCCATATTTGCATGTGAACATTTCCATCCCCAGGCAAATTTCTCATGAAGTTCAGCTTCAAACCTTCCGCGCATAGTGACACCACAAATCTCATCCCCAAAGCAACTCATTATATTACGTATTAAAGATCATTCATCATTTTATATGATCCACTTTAAAAAGTTTTACATTTGACAAAAGGGATTGACAGGAATTTCAACAACTGCTAAAGATTTCATTATTTTTCATCACCCACTTTAAGACGTTTATCATCTTACAAAGGAGACTCACAAGAATTTCAACAACTCCTAAAGCTATACAATTCCACATCAAAACAAGCATTAATTTTATGGGTATGACAGTGTAAAAATAAATTTGACAGAAAAATTCTAAAAACAAACTAAAAAAAACAAACACAAAAGATGGCCTACCTTGAATGGTCCGCTTAAAAAATGCTTTACATGCTTCACATGATGCTACACCGTAATGATACCCCGATGCAACATCTCCACAAACTAAACATGTCTTCTTTACATCCCCATTTTCTTGATCTGGAGACATTGTGCTTGACGCTAGCGCCAGCTGGCTAGGAGAGGAGACCACTATGGTGCGATCATCAGGCGAGGAGGTATCACTTTGATCACTAGAGAATACAGCTCCATTCACCATTCCATTAGAAGAATAGTCTGCAATGGACACCATGCCATTAGACATAGGCTCCAGTTTCACTGTGGTGGAGTCAGCACTCATCCTCTATATTTTTTGATAGTTCTCCGTAAATGAACTTTTCAAATCTCTGAAAACAAAATCAAATCATGAAGAATGTATATCAAATGAACTGATCAATATAATCTCGCTGGTTTGGTTTTACATGGCTATAGATACAAAGTACCTCAATTTATTGTAAGGGGTTATTTTCAGAAATGTTACATATGAGTGATATGAAAAGAACCACTGATATCAGAAATCTTGCTGGTCCTCTGGCATTTCAAGCAGTCATGACCAATCGGACAGGCAGTTTCCATGTCTGGAGCAATTAGATAATATATGAAATTCTGCAACCCTCTGCATCCTAATTAGCTTTTTAAGTCACTAGAGACCAGACAACATTGTTTCTTATTACATATTCTGAAAAAGATGATTATATCAGTGCACAAGGAGGAGGGCATTTTGTTTTTCACTTCAAAGAAAAAAATCCTTATATACATAACAAAACTAAATGTTCATGGCTACGACAAGAGAATTTCATATTATGAAAAGAGTAGTTTAAAATGATTTTTATTTATTTATTTATTTTTTTTTGGGGGGGGGGAAGAGCAAACATTCTTTTTTTTCAGTTCAATTAATGCTGAATTAAAAGCACACCTCAGTACCATGAAAAGGACTACCAAGCCAACAGAAAAAGTGCTTTATTTTCCTAAAATATTTTATTCTAAAATGATCTATTTTGCACATCAATAAAATCTGTGGAATGGTTCATCTTCTAGTTAATTAGGCAATGCTTCCAGCTGCTTAGCCAAAACTAATTAAGGTATGTTGGATACTGAGAGACAGCTGAGGTTTCTGGATGTTAAGGAAGCACCACAACCAACTTGTTTCATCAACTTAATAAAGTTCAAATGCACACTTAAAATCTGTCTTCCATCCGCAACAGGGATTTAAATCCTGAAAATAACACGACATTTACCATAATCTACTTTTTTAAAGATTCCAAATTAGTGTATGTGTTTATCTTACAGGAAAACAACACTTTTATTTCCAAGGTTTTTTTTTAATACATGAAGGTTTGCACATTTCCCAAAACAGTTTTCTCTTGCAGTCCATCCCTACTGTTAAAACTACCTGTACAGATTACTCAGATTCATGTCTTACTTTTAAAAAAACTTTTATTAAACTCAAAATATCTTAAATTGAACTTCCTTATGTGTTTTGTGTGAAACCAACATTCCTACAGATTACTTTAAGTAGCAGAAAAACAATGCTTATATCTGTGTACAGTATACACTAATTGATCAGTGTATACTGTACACATAAAATATAGACATGTAACAGATCCATGATGACAATCAGGTGAAGTTTACAAATCGGATATATCTATTATATATTTAAGTATAGGTGGTAATAACTAGCAGGAAAGTTAAGAAGTAAAAAACATTGCTAGGACAACTAATTTATTCTTAAATAAGTACAAGAAGTAAAAAAAATGTCACATATGCATCAATGCTCAAATGTATGTTACACAGCCAAGTATTTCGCAATATCATCCCAATCAATTAATTATTGAGAGTTGTATTTTTGTATTTATTCATGAGAACTTCTTCTTGTTATTGCTTTTTAAGACAAGAGTACATTTGTACCCTAACCTTTTCTTATTTTGCAGAATCTTGGAACCTTCACTTTACAAGTAATTAAGGTTTACCATAAATATAATTCATCAATTAGCGCTTCCTATCCATTGAAGTTATGATAAATGTGCACAAGCCCTGCATCTAAAAGTTAACCAGGCTCCTGAAATCCCCAAACTTCCATCATAGACATTACAGTCAGGTTAATACTTTAGGAAATGCACCCATCTCCAAACATTCCCATTTTTGACAGCTTAAGTACATGAGGTACTGGTCAAGGCTACCTACACATTATCTCCATCAAGTCTAAGCAACCCTACAGGGAGTTGAAGGGAGGCTCCAGGGGTTCAAAATCCAATTCAGGTTATGCGCGCGCATGCACACGTGTGTGTATGTGCATGTGTGTGTGTGTGTGTACACGTATATATATTTCTCCACTTGGGTCAACAAAGTCCACATTTAGAACAGTGGACTAATTATGGCGACCCACTAAAAAGCTTATCATCTAATCCGCAAAGAGACACTGAATAGATTCCCCGTGGAAAAGTATTCGAGCGTGTTAACCATATTTGACCCTCGGACTAGTAAGTCCACTGTTCTGAATGCTGCCTAAGAGTAGAAAGGTTCACCTTCTCAAAAAATTTTAAAATATCTGGTTACAAGACTGGCAAAGCATTTACAGAACCATTGCTGTACTGCATCCTCTCTGACACTGTATGCAATGTCTACTAAGGTGAACCAGGTTGAAGATTCACAAAAAAAACTTCAGTCAGTTCCAGTGGCTAAAATCTTTGTTTAATACCAATGTTACATGGTCACACGCACCCATCCTACCCTACCAGGAACAGTGTCACAACACTTTCATGGACTCATTCACACATCCTTAGCCAGGGCCCTCTTTTTTTTTTTTCTTCTTTTTTTATATAGAAACCATGGCTGGGTATAGTGAGGCCATTATTTACGGAAAGCCACGGAGGCTGTCAATCACACCTCTTGGCTGGATATGAAATAACATTACATCACCATGACCATGGTCATTACAACCAATGAATAAATTCTCTATATCATATCTTTAATTTTATGTATTCTGTATATCACTTGTTTCTGTAAACCTTGCAAAAGATATACCAGGCAGCAGGGCAGCTTTCCATTTGTTTTATATGCACACACATTTATTATGCCACTCCTACACAATCTTTCATCCACTGTGAATTATTTATTCACGTTATATAATATAATAACTGTTCCTTCATATCTCAGTGAGTTTAATAAAAAGAAAACAAAGGTGGAAATATATATATTTTAGACAATCCTGTGCAATTCAGAGTATCTAAGATGCAGTGCCATGGCATGCTGACTAATAATGGTACATAAAAAACAGAGAATAGTGTTATCATCCTCATATTAAATCCCAAACCAAGCCTATAAATCCTTCACTTTTTTTATAAGTCTGAATAGAAACAAGCAACCCTGACCCGCATACAAAATTAGGCATGTCCCAATTCAGTGGCCTGTACATAACTATGCCCCAAGTTTATCTGTTCTGACAGTAGCAGTCAGAAGCTCAAAACTCATAAGGCCAAGGTACTTTAAAACAGTAAACAACTGAGAATAAGTGTACATGCACCTCTTTATATACTTGCAGTTCATTAAATTATTCTTTTTTTTTTTTCTGATTCCGTAGCACATCCACAAATATCTAATACTTAGGATATCAAAAACCATGACTTGGTTGTAGGCTGCCATCACCATAGCAATAAAACATAAATCAAATGAATGACAGTTTTGTTGCAGTCCAATTGATTTCCCAATCAAGGCCAGACGGCAATCCATCCCTGGGTGCCAGTTTACACGTGCATGCTACCGCCATATGAATTCATAGTCAATTTCCTTTAACTTAACACCCAATATGGAGGACATGACATCATGCATCTTGTATGCATTTTTTATCAAGTCAATTGGTTGGAATTATACAGTCTGAGTTCTAAATTAATACCTAATTCCTATTCATTCAGCTATATGTTTGCTAAGTGGTTTTTTGTATAATATCAAGATGCAGCTCTCACATACACATGGATTAAACACTAAAAAAAAAACATACTGAAAACCATGATCAACATTCAAAATACTTCAGCACTTGAGTAATTTCTTTTAATTTTGGCAATACATAACATAGAGTTATAGAGCAAATAATAAAAATACATGCTTTGGACTAGCAATCTAACCTTCTTCCCTTTGGTAGTGCCAAACAGAAATAAACTCAAATCACTAAGACTGTAAATATAACAAAGTTTACTTCATTAAGTATTCATTATAAATCTTATAAGTTACACCATCACTTACAGCATCATATAGGGGTGCTCATGTGAAGAATCCAGAAAAGAAGGACTATAACTTAGGAGGTTAACTCAGTGGTTCCTCTGATATATATCTGCTTTGAATATCAATTTTGTCAACTGATGATAAGATTTTTATTTAAAATTGATCTTTTCAGAAGCGATCTCTTGGACAATGGAAAGTGAAAAAGACTAATAGGCTTACTTTCTTCTAAATGAAAGCAACCAAGTAGAGGTACATTTTCACAAGTACCACTTCACTAACTCCATACATGAATACACTGACAGGATACATGTACTTGGCACACTTAAGTTTTTATCAAAATGGCATAATGTTACCATGACATCAAATACTGCAAATTCAATCTTCAATTCAACAATTTCAACAACAATTTTAAATAGCATTTATAAATATGCCTCAAAAGCATTAAGGTTGCAAACGGCTTTAGAGTGAATTTCAATGTGATCAATATGTATTTCAGTTAAATTTGAACTGTTTTAATGAGATCTTTTTACAACATAAATTACAATCACAAAGTGTCACAGCTGTAGCAGAAGTGTTAATGATTTTATTACACCTATTTAAATTCTACATCAAACATACTGTGCAGATTAACCAGTTAAAATATTCCTCTTTTTAAAGTATAATAAAAAGTTAAACTATTCAACCAACAAAAGTACTGAATTTGTCTTACACATGCTCAATGTAAAGTATAATGGATATCCAGGCAGCCTCATGATTGATTTGAATTCCAGTGGGACATTTACTTTTGGCAAAAAGACATTAGCTTAATAATATTTCATCAATTAACAAGCATGCAGTGTTACAAGCTCGCATACTGTGTCTAAGCTATATGATGTACTTACACCTTTCAATTTGTATTAATTTAATACAATTTATATGGGTTACCTAGACTATATATATATATCACCATATCCAGATCAGATCATAAGTGACATGCTCACTGCGAAATGTACATATATGTATATACAATTAATGTACCGTTATGTACATTTCGATTGGCTTTTTTCTTCGTCAGTTGATATTACTGACAACTACAGTTAACAACACTGACAACAAAAACTGATCAAACCCGCAGTACCAATTCCACTTACTTAAATTTTAATTGAAATATTTTACATCCGGCACGTGTAACCGGCATATCCACTATCACAATGGCGAATTTCGCTGGCTTGAGTCGACAGGAGATCAAGGCATGATCGAGAGAGGAATTCCCAACACCAAGTCCAAAACAAAATAGAGGCGTTAACTCACCTTCACTTGAACTTAATAATCGGTGCTATGCCTTCTTGACTGCATAATAATCCGTTTGTGAATGAACTGCAAAGAGATTTCCAAGCACTTTCATTAAGAGACTTAGCGCCGAATGGTGCCACAACATAATTTCTCTTAGCTATAAATATATACCGACCCAGCTGTGACGTCCTTGACCCGCATGACGTAAGCATTGAATGTTCTAGACGAATCAAATGCGTTGATTTTGGACGCACCTCCAAATGATTAAAAGAAAACGAAGATTTCGGTTTCCAAAGAATGCTTGTTGTATTAGAGTTATCTATATTCAGATACATTCAGCCACAAATCGATTTAAAGTTTAACAGTTTAATATTTTGTGTAAAACTTTAAGTATTTTTCACTGTAGAGAAAAATGAGATATCATATAACTTTATTAAATAATTTTCCATCATAACCACATTAGATCAACTCATAAGTTCTATAGCAGAAACGTTAATATACAGATCACAAGTATTATAGTAGTATCATATTTTTTATCCTTGATGTAAGCAGCAAATATTTATTTTAAATGAATAGTTTCCAGCTATCGGTTGAATCTTTTGGCATTCCAACATTTAGTTTGACCCAGAACGTGCTGATGCTTAGCCCAATGCGCATGCTCGTGAAATTTGTCATTGACTCAAGGTCAAGGTTACCTTCAAACCATGTTTA